TCTCTCTTGGTTCTTATTTTTCACCCTTGCCCAGCCCTCCCTTCAACCCCTCATTCCTCCTTATTTACAAATATTTTGTTCCTATTTTTCCATTTTCTCATATTAATCCCATTCCCTTCTATCCTTATTTATACATTTTTTTGTTACTGCATGTAGACATCTTATTTTTGCAAATTTATCCTGAATTATGCCTTTTGTTTAACTCTCTTATTTGTCTGAATAGCACATCTAGAGATTCTACTGACTTTCCAATCAGAACAAAATATCTTCTAGAAAAGTAGCATTTTATATAAGCCTTACACTATTTTTTTACTTACTCTTTATTCTTTTTAAATTTTATTTATTTTTTTATTTTATTGCTACATGTTTGCAATTTTTACAGTTTATAATCATCCTGGAGAGTAGTTACATGTACATACCACAGCATGTTTCTTTTTTTTTTTCAAATCCCTTTCTCTTTCCATCACCTCCCTCCCTGCTCCTCCAATTTCCCTATCACATTTTTCATTCTTGTTGATATTAGTAACCTTAGCTCATGTTACAGCATATAATTTTTACATTAATTGAGGTTATTAGGTTCCTATACAGGGCTTATTTTTATTTTACTTATTCAATTGAAAGTATTAAATTTTATGTTACAGTAGCTTATGATGGAAATATTTTAATTATTTTTCCTATTACTATTTTTTCTGTAAAATACTGTTTGTAGATCTAATTTGTTATTTTATATTAGTAGAAATCTATAATGTTGATTAGCATATTTTTTAATAAGTTCACTTTAGAGAGATTTTTTAATATACCATAAAATTCAATTAGCTAATGTTTCATCCTGGATTTTGTAATTATATGGCATTCTTAAAATTTTTTTCTAATTTTATAATTCCTTTCTCAGTTGTAGAGACAAGGACATACCACTATCACTAAAAACAAAAGACTGGATAGCATTTAGGATTGCATAATATAGGCAATTCACATAGGGATTATTAATATGAATTATTTGAAAAGCTATAAATACAACTAATCTTGCAGCAATGTGGAAAGGAAAATTAAGTTTTTAATTAATATTTAAAATTTCTTAAATTTTATCATCATTCAACTTTTTATTTTTTCTGTGCCTTTTTTTTCATTTTATAGTCTAAAAATTTATTTATTCTAGGTTTCAAATATATTTTTAAAAATGGTTTGGCATACTACACTTTTATTGTGTTCTGAATTTTCTGTTGTTTACTAAATCATCTCTTGCATTTTATATTTTTGTTTGAATTTTTTCTTAGGCTGCTAGAATCTTTCGTCAAGTTACTGGTTAATAATGTCCTTAAATTAATATTTTTACATATTTTAGTTCATCATTTTTGTTAATTGTTACTATATCTCTCATTTCTGTAACTTTCACTATTATTTTCTTTCTGTCTTAAATATTTCTGGCTTTCTATGCTTTTATATTTTTGTATTTGAATTTGCATTTCATTTTTATTTTATACAATCATTAAGTCACAAAGAGAATACACATAAAATTTTTATTTGAGGTTCTTTTTCTCCAACATGTGAAAAATATTACATTATGGATTATGATCTTTATAGATTTTGCATATATGTACATATATA